TTTTTTTGTACCGGGGATCGAACTTAGGTCCTTGCACTTGCGCAGCAGGCGGTGAAACCGCTGAGCTAAATCCCCGGCCCCAACAGCATATTTTTATGAATTAACTTGTGCTAAGCAATGATGAACAGTAAGGTTTTTCCCAAACCTTTGTCATTGATTTGAACCTTTTAATTTTGTTGCTCCTCTTTCAAGTCTTATTTATAGTACATTAAAGGTAGTTAAAAATGAAACACATAAGATTGAAATACTACTCAGTTGTTTGTGTTGAAATAGTCTTTCCTTGATATTTTCCCAGTAATTTTCACTAATTGAATTTAGAGATTTTTTTTCATTGCTTAGCATGGTCCTAAACATGTATATTTTATCTGTGCTTAGGCATATAGCAATTTTTCCTATCCTTTATACTACTGACATTTGGAAAATAGCAATAACTTAAATATTTACATAGCTCCAAAAATAGGTTTTAAATTCCTATATTTGATGATTTTTACTTTCTATAAATCTTTCTAGATTTATACTGAATCAGAGCATTTGTAAGAGATTCAGGCTAACACTGACACTTGAGGCTTACAAATTTAAATGAAAACTGACAAGGGATAGGAAAGAATAGAGAATATATATGATAAATAATCAATACAATTATTTTAAATTTTGTTTGCAGTTTCATAGTTTTCATAAGTTTTAATGATCAAAATAATGTAAAACCTGAAAACTACCTCCTGTTATTTTAGATTTCGTTTTGTTAATTTACACAGAATGTACAATAAAGGTGTTCCAAAATTTAGTATATATATAAACATGATATAAATTTATATTTTGCTATTGAATTTAAGTTTTTATGCTCTGAAGATAACTTTCTCAACCTCATATATATCACAATGGTTTTTTTTGGTACCGGGGGTCGAACTCAGGACCTTGCACTTGTGAGGCAGGCGGCAGAACCACTGAGATAAATCTCTGGTCCTCACAATGTTTTTAAGAAGAAATATTCATCACAGCACTGTTTACAATGCAAAAATTAATAAAAATATCTAAACTATATTCAATAGCAAACTATTAAGTTCTAGTGCATCTTAAAATGTAATACTATATAGGCACTAAAATTATAATGTAAATTGTGTTATTTAGTGGCATGAAAGAACATTTATGGCTCAGTTTAAACTAAAAATATAAAACAATACATACAGTATTTCTTGTAAAAATTGTGGCTATACTTAGAAGAAATATATAGAATGATATACCAATCCTAAAATAATTTTTTTTGAGACAATGTCTGTCATGTCATCTAGCCTTGCTTTGAACTATGTAGCCCAGGCTGGCCTCAAACTCACAACAATCCTCCTGGCTCAGCCACCTAATTGCTGGGATTACAAGTATGGGTCACCATTCCTGTCAGTAGTGGTCATTTTGAATTGTGATAATTGACAATTGATAATTTGGCTTCTTTCTGTACAGCGCACATTTTTATAATAAGCATGCATTATGTTTATAGTCAACAAAAACTGTGATTTCCATTTTGGAAATATTGTGTAATAAATATAATTTGTAGATAAACACAGTAGTACCTTGGTTCATAAACTCTTTTGTTTGCAAACTCTACATCAGGTGACAAACATAACCACAGCCATCTTTCCTGCACAACAACAAACATGGCCATCTTTTCCAAAATCATGGAACAAATTAAGTTTCTGAACTGATACACCACTGTACATAGAAAACAGCTTATTCTCATTTTTTTATGGTTCAAAAGCTAACAAATATGTTAATAATATTATATATTTATAATATTATATATTTATAATGTAAGAAAATCTACTAACAGAGACAAAGTATTTTCTTGCACTTGGATCTGAGGTATGAGCCAATCATATATTTTTAGAGTAGTCAAATTTAATATAAATTAGGCATTTCTTCACTTCATAAACGGATTTGTACTGGTATATATTTTAAAAGGTAATACAAAAATGACAAAAATATGTGTAATATGGATGGAAAGCAGACAGTGAGGCGAATATGAAACAGCAGGTGAAACACAAATTACAGGGCATATATGTAACTGCAGTACCAAACAATATTTTTTTCTGAATTTCCAATTATTCAACACATAAAGAGAATTCTATCAAGTCCTTAGCTCTCATATAATGGGAGTATATGATTTAATCAATAGACAACCTTTTCTTTAACTTTGAAACATCTGTAAATATTATAAAATGGACACATTCAAGAATTTACAAGAGATTACAAGTTTAATAGATGGTCTTTAATACAGTTTCTCAACATCATTCTATAGATTATTTAAATTTTACAGTGACATTTAACTGAGGCTGAAGGTAAAATATTATCTATAGTAAAGGCAAGTTTGTGCAGTTACTCACCTTTATTGTTAATTTAACATAATCTCAGTACAGGCACTAAAGAATCCAGAAAAGTGAGTGATAAGAATTGTCCATAGTGTTCTGAACTATCAGATCTCTCAAAAAAGGTTTTTAGCTTTAAATAACCACTGCCTGAAGTGTTATTTTTTTAAGGTACTGATTAAGAAAACAGGGCATGACGTTAATAAAAACAACTCCCAAGAGTAGTCTATTGCATTAAAAAGTATGTAATATGCCCACAATATATTTTGAAAGGAAAATAATAAATTAAAAAAAAACCCATATCTTTTAAAAAGAACATTCATTTTAAAATAATAATTTAAAGTAAAGTTATGCACAGATTCTAACTGGATTAAATACATTTTTTCTGCTCTATTGATTTCTCAAAAAGCAAGTTAGAAATATTTACTATGATACATTTGGAAAGATCATGCTAAGATAATTTTCAGAAGAAATTAAATTTAGTATTATTTAAATAAATAAAGAGGGAAATACATTCAATCAATTTTTTTTTTACCTTGGCTGTACAGGAAAAAATGTGGAGGAATAAACATTATTCTACATATTCCTAAGGATATTATATCAAAAAATAGTACAAAATGACTTTACAATTAGAAATTATGTTCTTCACTTAAATGAACAAGATTATCTAGTTTCATTTTGTTTTCAAAAGAAAGTAGTCACTTAAAAAATAACACTTTTGAATTGGCACAAAATAACCCTTATTACAAAGGGAGACAAACTAAGTAGCATCAGCTAAAGCTGAGAAAAATTGAACATTCTCATTCTCACCACCTTCGCCTAACCTGGCCCAGGGTGACATGCAGGGCCTTGGAGCCCACTAAGCGACCATTCATCTCATCCACTGCTTTGGTGGCCTCTTCAAAAGAGGAGAAGCAGACCACACCAAACCCTTTCCCCTGCCCCACTTCCATCATCACTTTGGCTCGGCTAATTGATCCAAATGAAGAAAATTCTTCCTTCAGTTTTTCATCATCTATGCTCTCATCCAGGTTCTTAATATATATAGGCACGCCTGGAGGCCGACTTTTTTCTTTTAATCTCAGCCTCTCAAACCTCCGCCGTAATTCAGCCAAGCGTTCAATTTTCTTTTGTGCTCGTCCTACGTATAGCACTTTCCCATCCATTGACTTTCCATGCAGTTCTAACACCGCCTTTTGGGCAGCCTCGTGTGTCTCGTATTTCACAAATCCAAAACCTTTAGATTTCCCACTAGCATCTCTTACTACCTTGACGCTCTCAATTTGCCCATATTCACTGAAAAGTTCCTTCAGTTTTTCGTCATTCATGTCATCTCCAAGGTTTTTAACAAAAACATTGGTGAAAGTTGCTCTATCCCTGGTTCTGACTTCAGCTGCTCGCTCTTCAGGGAATTTGAATCTGCCAACATATACTTGGCGGTTGTTGAGCCGTACTCCATTCATGTGCCAGATAGCCCTATTGGCAGCAGCCAGGCTGTCAAAATGCACATACGCATAACCCTTAGAGCCATTGTCATCACATACAACTTTACAAGAGAGAATGTTACCAAAAGCAGAAAATAAATAAAACAGACCCCTATTGTCTATGGATTTGTCCAGGTTTTTGATGAATATATTTCCAACTCCAGACTTTCTTAATCGGTCATCAGGCTGTGACCACATGAGGCGGAATGGTTTGCCATTAATCAAGTCAAAATTCATGGTGTTCAAGGCCCACTCAGCATCCGCTGGAAAGCGGAAGTTAACATAGCCATAGCCCAGGGGACTGCGGGTCACCGGGTCACGGCAGATTCTGGTGAATCGCAGAGGGCCAGCAGGCCTGAACTTCTTATAGAGCATGTCCTCTGTGACATCTGCATCCAAGTCACCCACATATAGGGCAGCCTTGAGGTACTTCTTTTTCTTGCCAGCAGGATTAGGCTCCCCACTCCCCATCTCTCTGAACACAGGAGGCTTTCCGAGGAGAGAAAAGGGCTGCTTTCTCTAATCTATGGGCCAAAAAGCTGTTCAGGAACAGAAAAAGCGAAGGCAGCCGAAGGGAAGCGAAAAGCAGACTCAGAATCACTGTTGAGGCTGAGAAAATGAAGTTCAGAAACAGCTGGTCAGCAGGCTCAGAACAAACGCATCAGACATAAAGGCACCCCGATAGCGAATATGTTCTCCCTAAGGGGACTTAAATTTTTCACCCATTCAGATTTGAAATTAGTTCCAAAAACCAGTATTAGAAACGTAATTACTCTTTCCCATTTTAAGAAATCACCAAGCAGCTGGCTGCTTCCCTACATTGTCGATAGAGGCCTCAGGATCGGCTTTTTGCATAAATATAGGCCTCGAGAGCTCCTGTTGGTTTAAATAATGGTATCAACAAGGGCAGGAGCCGAGTATGTATTCCTCCGCCAGCCGCTTGGCCGCTCCCGGAGGGCTCCCAACTTACTAAAAGGCCGCTCCGCACTCAGCGTCAGCAAAAGGGCACACTGGACATTTGGTGTGCTGGGACAGCAGGCAGGCTGCAGGCAGCGGATCAGAGAGACAGACGTACAAACGCGCGGGGAACCGGAGACCGCCCAGATACCCAAGATGCCCACTGGGTACGGACCGAGTGAGGCGCGGAGATTTCTGCAGCCTGAGGCTGGCGGCAGGTCCGGAGGGACTGACTGGCAGACGCGCAGAGGGTCAGCTCAGACGCGAGGCGGGTCCTACAGACGCAGGGCGGAGTCAGCGGAGAAGAGCAGAGGCGCGGCTGGCAGGCCCAGTGGGGACTGATGGGCAGGGGTCGCTTTCCGAAGGACAGACCAACCAAGGGACCAAGGGCTTGTAGCTGGGGGGTGGGGGAAGACGGGCGGGGCGCGAGGAAACCCGGAACACAGTGCTAAGTAACTTCCCGCTTGCCTGTGTCAATGCCAAGATATTACACACACACACACACACACACACACACACACACACACGATATTCATATTAGATTTTTTCCTTTTTAAATATGTATTTATTACAAGTTTTAAATATTTAGGTTGCTCTTCACTAAATCGTAGGAAGTTATGCCCAAGGCAGAAAGAGTGCATAATTTTTTAAAAAGAATTCTCTAAATCATTTTTGTTTAGGGAAGAAGATATACGTCCCATAATTTCCTTAGTGCATTGGAAAGTCAAAGTTGACAACTGTACTGGGCTCCAGGTCCAGGGCTAAAAGATCATATGGTCAAATAGAACACAGGGCTATGTAGTGCTTGATCTTTATCCTTACTCGATTAATCTCCAGCATAATGGTTGAATTATGCCCAGGTAGTGTGGTCAGACCTTTTTTCTTTTCTTCAGTAATATTAAAGTTTTAATATTGGAGAGACATCAAATATCTTTTGAAGGTATTTAGTACCACAAAAAGATGAAACTGTTGAGCTATCTTCAGAATCACAGTTAAAAATCTCAGTTAAAGATAAAAGCTGCAGAATCAATGCAACATGTATAATTAATATCCTTAAGAGAAATAAACATGTCAAGATGAAGGTACTTAATATAATTATGAATTCCAACATGAGTTGTCAACTTTAAGTCATTACAGGGAAGAATGTCGTGAGACTGTGTTCTTGTGCTCACTTTATGAGAAAAGGCAACCATGAATAATATTATAGAGATAGACTAGCTCAACTGAGTATTTCTCATAAAGTACAGTATCTTTTCACAGATCTTGAGAAAACTGTTCTGGAAAGATATTCTGCTCCCACTTTGAGAAAATCACCAATCTCTATTATGCACAGACAAATCCTCAACAAGCCTCCCTGGTCCCCAATCACTCCTATATCAAAGAAAATGAAAACTAAACATGTAGCTGTATTTTTAGATTGAAAAAGATACTGAAGATAATGAAGGCTAAAAAGGGGGATTATTGTAGTTAATATTTTCTTAAGATGTTCTTAGAACAGCAGGATAAATTCTTATGCTTCTGCATTTTTAAAATTATACAGATTATATTAAACTGTATACTTGTGTAAAGATGGCATTTATCCTCATTACATGCTCAAAATTTTAGAATTATTTTCTGTTTTCTTGTTCTCACTTTTTAGGGTTCTTGCTTAATTAACACACGAAGACTTTATGAAAAATGGCAACCATGAATAATATTGTAGAGATAGACTAGCAAACATGTCTTACAATATTAACACAGTAGCCAACATGTGGAGGCACTTGTGAACATCTGGTCACTTTACTGCATCTTAAACATATTTTTATAAACATCTTCCCAGGTCTGGGGGGTATAGCTCTGTGGTAGAGTGCTTGTTTTGCATGTGTGCTACCCTGGGATGGATCTTCAGCACAGGAAAAATAAAACAAATAAGTAAAAATAAACATATTTAATTATGTGTGTTAACAATGGGTTAGAACCCTAGTCTGGCTTTTACTTTTATCATTTAAAGGTACTTCTTTATTGAAGCTGGTGTATTAAAATAACAGTGTAAATGCAAAAGAATAATTTTCACAATCTCATCACTGATACTAATTAATATTTTCATTTGTTCATGTAACTATTTAAATGCTCATACTCAAATTCATTTCTTCATATTTTCTCTAAGATTCTAGAGAAATTGTGCAGTTAAAATTTAAAAAAAAAACTCTCTACACTTACCAAAAATGTGGGGGTCATTGCAGTATAGATAGTGTAAACTGTAGTGACAAAAAGGATATCAAAGATCAGAAATTTTGAACTCTTTTTAAATAAATGAATTTTATACTTCTTCCTAGGCAGAAGTTTAATACAGAAAGGAAAAATATTTTCACCTTTAATTTTGAAATCACTTTACTATTTAATTTGAGAAGGCTTTGGAATTTAAAAGTCAGATATAGAATATTTCTTGCGCAATTCTATATACTAAAGGCAAGTTTATAGTTTATATAAATCTGATTAACATATTAAAATCCATTGAAAGTCCTGAACCAGATTCCCAATGCAGTTCATTGAAGCATACTGTAGTCTTTAAATCTGAGAAACACTTTGAATTAGGAAAGAATCCTAGACAACTGGTATTCCAAGCATATTTCTTCAGTTATTGTTACTTACAGTTGATAATATGTCAGCATAAATGGAGAAAAAGAAGAAATTAGAAATGTATTTTTCTTCCTTGTCTTAAGAAACAATTTTGTGTTCCCAAACAAAAATCTCAAGTATTCATGAGAATTTATTATGAAAGCAAACTTGGTATTCTCTTGTAGGAAGACTGGGATGGCTAAACAAAACATCAAAAAGTAAATAAAAAAGAACTTTACAACCTATGACGTGGTTCATATGTTTTTATAAAAAAGAGAGACAAAACAATTTGATGTTAAGAATGTGCTCTAAATAGACATTTCTAGAATCACTTTATTTTCTATATCTCAAAAAAATTTATCCCAAGCCTGAGAATTTATGTGTTACACAACAAGGCACTTGGTAATGTTAATCATTAAAAAAATTAAAGTGTATTTATTTGATTATACATCCTGAAATGAGAAAGTGACCAAAACCAGAAAACTTTCAACATAATTTACAATAAAGAGATTTATACTAAATGACCAATAAAGCAGAATATCATATTCTCTAATATTTTATTAAAATTTGCAGTATTCTCAAATTATAAAATTAGAGTTTAGATATTTATTCAAGGCACTTGGCATAATATGTACTTTTATAACTCTTGTGATTGTTGTAAATTAAGATTAACACTTTAAAGAAAACAGTTAAAATATTTTGCAAAAGAAGATATACAAATAGCTAATTAGTATACAAAAATATGCTCAAAATCACTTGTCTGGCAAACACAATTCAAAACTACAATGAGATACATATTTCTCCTGAGTCAGAATGAGTATTATGAAAAAGAGGAGAAAAATAAAGTAACAATGCTGGCAAGGAGTTAGAGAAAAGAATTCTCTTCACCAATGCTAGGAATGTAAACTACTACCTTCATTATGGAAAGTATTACTGAAGTTCCTCAAAAACCTAGAAATATAACTACCATGATACTCTATACCACTTTGGGGTATATATCCAAATGAAATGAAATAACCATACCAAGGTTATACCTGCATTCCCATATTGATTTTGATGCTATATATAGTAGCTAGAATATGGAATCAACTGAGATGTCCATTAGCATATGAATAAACAAATAAAAAACAGTGTACATATACATAATAGAATTCAGCCATGTGAGTATTTAAATCCTGTCATTTGTGGGAAAATGGATGGGACTGGCGGACAATATGTTAAGAGAAAAAGCCAGGAAAGATGCATATTACATGGTTTTGCTCTTCCACACAAGCTTAAAAAGTTGATTTCATAGAAGTAGAGAGTAGAATAGTGATTACCACAGGGAAAGGGAAGGGAGCAGGGAGACAGAGGAAAGGTGGATAATGGATATTTGTTGTATTTACATAGAAGAAATAAATTCTAATATTCTTCAGTGTAGTAGTGTGACTATAGTTCAAAATTTAGTATATTTTATAAAGAAATAGAAAAGAGAAGTTCAAAGTTTTCCAGCACAAAGAAATGATAAATATGTAAGGAAATGAAAGTGCTACATATTCTGGCTTGTTACATATTGTACACATTTATGCAATTATAATAGTGTACTCCATAAATATGTACAAACATTTATACTTAAATAAATAAAAAGCAAAGTGATTTCAAAAGAAAAAAAGTTTGACATTTGACCTTTTCCTTGGTATAATGAATTAAATTCTTATTGAATTTTTAAAAACAAGCATTTTCCCTTTCATTGTAAAAGGAAGTAACAAATTTGGCATAGAAGAATATTATATCAATATGATGAAGGATATATATGAAAATCCTACCCTAATATATTCAACAATTAAAAACTGAAGAGCTTTCCTCTAAGAAAAAGAGAAGGCAAGAATATCCACTTTTCCACTTTTTTTCAGCCTAGTACAGAAAATCCTAGATACAGTAATTAGGGGGAAAATGAAATAAAGGGTATCTGAGTGAAAACAGATGAAGTGAAACTGTGTTTATTTCTAGATAACACGATCTAGGGCCAGGGATTTAGCTCAGTGGTTTCACCGCCTGCTGTGCAAGCGCAAGGACCCAAGTTCGATCCCCAGTACCAAAAAAAAAGGCAGTTTGCCCTATAAATTCAAGGGGTCTCAAGTCTAGATAACACGATCTTATCTTTCAAAAGCTTAAAGTCTCTACAAAGCAGTTGGAACTATGAATAAATTCGCAAAGCTACAGGATACAAAACAACATAAAAAATAATGTGCATTTTTGTGTATTAACAATGAAGTATCTGAAAGAGAAATAAGGAAACATCCATAATCAGTAGCATCAAAAAGAATAAATACTGGGCCAGGGATTTAGCTCAGTGGTTCTGGTGCCTGCCTTGCAAGCGCAAGGTCCTGAGTTCGATCCCAGGTACAAAAAAAAAAAAAAAAAGAATACTTATGAATAAACATGACCAAGGAATCTAAAGTTATACCCTAATACTTTAAATCATCCACAATATAAATAAAAGAAAACATAAATAAAAGGAAATATATCCCCTACTCATGGATTTGAAAAATGAATATTGTTAATATGTCCAAACAATTCAAAGAAACCTATAAGTTCAATGAAATCCTTTTCAAAATTTTGATAGCATTTTAATAGACATAAAAATAGAGCCTAAAATTCATATGGAGCTGCAAATGAGCCTGAGTAGCCAAAACAATCTGGAGAAAAGAGAAAAAACTGGAGGTACGACCACTTCCTGATTTCAAAGTACACAGTATTGCAAACCTAAAATAATTACGGCAATCTAATAGGGTCATAAAATAAAATATATATTCCAGGGCTGGAG